AAGCCGGATGCAGCACTGCCTGTAATTAACCAGCAGCGCTCCGTCCATGACAAGTTACACGGTGGGGAGGCTTCCCCTGCTGTGTAACCTGTAACCAGCCGATCTGAATTGAGAAAAAGCTGTCAGCTTCAGACTTGAAGCTGACAGCTTTTTCCTCCATAATACTAGGAGAGGGTCTGCCTCACCTGCCTCCCCTGACCGCACGTCCCTGACCTGTTCAATGTGTATATTAAAGTCAGAAGACTGTAAGGCTGCTGAGTAACGACAAGTAGAGGGGAGCAGAGGTGCTGCGTCACTGCTGGGAGGAGGAGCAGATATTGGGCCCATGTATGGACACCTTAAGGAGTGGCTGGACTTGGATTACAAATGCAAAACAAGAGGTTTTTCCCCAGAGGCCAAACAGGTAAGTCAGACTGACCACTGGGCAATGTAGACACTTCAACACAGCAGACAACATGGATATGTCCTACATCAGTGGATATGTACAAATCACACACACAGATCATATTCAGATGTTACAAATGTTTATTGTGCATTCAGGAGCACTGACAAGCACCAGTAATAGTCTCTCATGCATCTTCTATGTTAATAAAATACATCTATAATCTCCTGCGAGGGTTTCAGCACCAACGAGTAGAGAAGCACCATGGTGTTCTAGTCCTATACTTTATTCGATTGATTGTCACCTGAATATTATAAAACAGCTTTTTATTTCTATTATTACAATTATTTCACAGCAAAGAGATAATACCGAAAAATATATCGCAGTGAATGGGTCAGTCTGCCCACTATGGGTCAGCTAGGGGCGAGTCCAGGCAATCTGAGTCACCTACTGTCTTCTTATATCTCATGGGCAATCCACTGAGGAGCTCACCACAGCAGAATTATTAGCTCCACCTCCACCAGCAGACTCCTCCCACCTGAGTGTGACACCTTTGTAACGGAAGCGGTAGGAAGAGCAAGGGTCAAGAATCAAGATCAAGAAGTCAAGTGCAGAGATCTCGCCATTAGAGATGTAAGAAGCCTGTTGGTGATTCCACCACCAGCATTATCACAGATCTGAAATATTGGTTTTCATGCGGACTAATCTTTTAAGAGCTACTAAAAATATTTGCATGTGCCAGTTTCTCAGGATTCATAGGACTTATGATATTCTATCTATCTATCTATCTATCTATCTATCTATCTATCTATCTATCTATCTATCTATCTATCTATCTATCTATCATAAATATGAGTGGCTCTTTAATAAACAATCTACAAAATAAGTTAAATTATCTTATCACTATGCTGATGTTATTATTTCTATTACAATATATCTAAAGCCCCAAATGATTTATTTTGCTTTGAATAGCGTAGAGTAGGGAATAGATAAAACCCCTTGATTTTTTTTTTTACAGTCTATGTCCCATTGGGAAGACTTGTTATTACACAACAGAAAGTAAGGGGAAATCCCCTCTTAGGCCGAATTCACCCAAAAATTTGTCAAATCAAAAGAATTTCTCTCTATTTCTGTCCTGGGGTCAACTGTAAAATTTCCCATCACTGTCTGTCCCGGTGATAATGGTCACCGGGACACATATAGAAGGCTGAATCTCCACAGCACGGACACAAATGGGAAGAAAAAACTGACAAAGGTTCTAACCCTTCCACGCTCCAATCCAAAACTAGAAAAAAGCTTCGGCTTTAGGTCTAAATACATATTATTAGGTCACAAGAAATTCTAGTTCCCTGTCTAGAAACATCTCATTGATGAACATAACAGTCCAAGCCATAGAGCTGAAAGGAAACCAGAAATATACATTTCATGAGAAGAGATCAGATATTTCCTGGATTGATTTAGAAGACAATTACAACTTTCCTGTTCTCATACTGTAGTCAAGAAGCAGCTTCCATTACGGAAGGTGTCTGAGGAAACCATTGTTTCGGATAGGGATGCAGCGATACTTTTCAGATACCAGTGCAGATACTTGGCATTTTCATGAGAGCTACCAGGGTTGCAGAGGTTGCAGCTGGGACCGGGCTCTGATAAAAAGTGCTTCAAGAAGGGATCCTAGATGCTAGACTTGAGTAATATTGGGTGACCTCGTGGAGTGTTCTTACTGTGGGAAAGCCATGTAAAAGGATCTGCTGCAGATGCTGGCTTATGGGTCACAAAAAATAAACTAACCCAGCAATTAGCTGAAGGGGGCATCTGGCTGGACTTAAGTTTCAGACAAGCAGGTGACCTAACGTGCTAACTCAACCTGCCAATAGTATCAATGCCAGAGCACCCTAAAATCCTTAAAAGGCAAATATAGTAAAGAATAAAATTCTAGGGGGAGGGAGAAAAGGTGAGAATGTGGGGTGAGTTTTGTGCCCAACTTTCAGTATACTTGTAGAAGCTTTAGTTTAATACTGAATATGGTTCTTTTTGTTCTATCACACATATACTGTATACCCATTAAATGGATATACTAAGAAGTGCAGCTCTGGGAAAATAAATCATAAGGGAAATTGTGTAACAAATGTTATATGCTTTCAGTTTCTTGCTGGGGAATTGATGACCAAACAAGCCATATCAGAAATATATATTATATAGTTACTGTTTCCTTTGTTGGTTCTCCTATTTTCTTGTGTTTAAAAGAGTATCTCCCGCCAAAACTTTTCTAAAGTTGTAGATAGGGCATGGAATAGTTAGAAGAACCCCAGTATGCTTTTTTTATGCTTTTGTGTATCGTTGGGGAGATTTCCCCTCACCTTCTGTCCAAGGAACACAACACAATCTATCCAAAGTGAGAGGAATCCGCTGTTCACCATTTGTCACTGTAACATATTTCCCAATTGGAAGATTTACCCTTCCCTGCCATTCTGGTGACCAATGTAAAATTGTAGATTTCCCATTACTTTATGTCCCGGTAATGGTCGACAGGACAAACAGAGATGGCGAATCTCCCCAGCGGGGACAAAACAAACATGATAAATGGTCTGACCCTTCCTACTCTGGTAAAACAAATAAAAGGTTTGGCTATAGATACGCCATAGATAAAAATAATGACACAGCCTTGCACCACTGTAACCATACAGTTAAAAAGGCCTGTTACAAATATTGTAACACTGTATCATAATCAGAATTTAGAACATTCTATTGCATGGAGTGTTTTCATGCGCAAGATAAACTTACAAATACACGCTCTATCTACAGCAGACAGCCATTTTGTGGGCTGAATCACCATGCAGCCTAGTAGCTCACACAGAGCTAGTGCTGTAGCACATAGAGGTATACTCTAAATACATATATATATATATATATACACACACACACACACTGCACTGGTCCGAGCAGTAATATATATATCAACTGGGAGATTTACCATAGGCACAGGGGGTGTAGCCTCATATAGGCCTATAAGACAAGATGGCACCCAAACTCCAGCGCCCACCACAAGGCATTAGGGAAACAGGGCTTCTACACATACTTACAATCTTCTGGTGGATTTAGATATCTCTTGTTGTCAGTGGTGGCTCACTGGATATCCCTGGAACATGGCAATGACAATGACACAGTGGGTCATAGGTGCATGGTATGACTATTCCAGTCTGGCAAGTTAAGTTAATCTCCCCTCCATATTAAATAAGAAAAACGATGGCTTTTCCAGTCAGGCTGCTAGTCAGTGTTTTAGACCTCTGGGAGGTTGTGCACAATACAGTGCTCCTTAGAAAGCATCATGTCAGAAGTCTGAGGAAACCAATTTCAACTAATGCAGTGTTTCTTAATTCAGTGTAACATCCAGAGGAGGATTGGTCAGAGCCGCATGGGAGAAAAGGCTAACGCTGGTGTCACCTAGCAGCATTACAGGGTATATTTGTTTAGCTAGCAGGGGAGATTTGTGTTTTTTTGGCTCCATCTTAGAGACAACAATGTCCCTAATGAACAATGGCTTCCTCTGAGTGCTGGCAATATAGGGATGGGAATGTGGGTGAGACTTATGTGAAGCACATTCCTGGTTAGGATGCAATGGCCACCAACAGACACAAAGCAAACAATGTAGCAGTGATATAAACAATAGTATCAGCATACAAATTGAGTTCAGATGTTAGCAGTAGTACTGCTACAGTGTACAAAGACATTTCGGACAATTGTGTTCTTCCAACCATTAGGCAAGAGTTTGAGGGAAGCCCTTTACTCTTTCAGCATGCTAGATCCAAAAAACATGGTTTAATGTCATGATAATGGCATGGTTTGATGGTGTGGAGGAACTCGAGTGGCCTGAGCTCAACCTGACTGAAAACCTTTAGGACGTATTAGATGCAAGTCAGGTTTTAGTATCCAACATCAGTACCTAACCTTACAAATACTATATTGCCGGAATGTGCAAACATTCTCATAGACGCACTCCAAAATCTTGTGGAAAGACTTCACAGAAGAGTGAAATGGAGAAGGGCAACTCTATATTAATGGCCATGGCTTTGGAATGGAATCCCAAGAAGCTCATGCAGATGTGATGGTTATGTGTCAACAAACTTTAGCCATAGAGTGTATGTAGATGGTGCACAAACTATAAGACAACACTGACCAAGCTGCAACCTGACTGGAATGCTCTCCATTTTTTGCACTTGAAACTTGCCTGGTGATGACCTTGTGGCGGTGTGTAGAAGGAAAAAGTTCAGTGCTCATCGAGAATTAAGGGCCCTTGACTATGCAGTAGACTCTCTTCACAGTTTTTATAGTATCTCCAGCTTCATCAAGATTGTCAAGGCCATAAGTTCATCAGTGATTCCAAAATATGGGTAAACACCTTAGGAAAAATATACTGCACAGTCTTTTTAGGATGTGCTCACTTTTGCAGTTCGTCGACAACAAATACCGAACATGTTTCAAGTATGCGCCACAAAAAATAAGCAAGGTTTGAGAACATGGCTCTTCTATCACTCCCGAAATTTCACAATAAGTTTATACCCTACCCAATATTCTACCCAGATCCATCCAACCCTGTTTTTACAAAGTCCCAACCACTCCCTCGAGCCCCACCTCTTCCAGCACCCATAACTTCAGACAGTTGAGAGCTACAGGCTTGTGAACTCTCTCAGCCAGGAATCCTCCATGACATATCATTGCTGGCTTGGATTTGGTGACAGTGTTCCATATTGTTGGTCAAACAAAGCACAGCTGTACTTTGGTCACATAACAAGCCAAGCTTTACTTGTATTACGGAGCCGTGTTCTTCATATGCTGCATCTGCAGGGGCTTTACATGATACTCATAGATTTTCAGGGCTGGGCCCAACTTCAGGGAAAGTCCGGTTAAGACATCATTTCGGGTCATTAGCAGGAGGGATTTCCCATCGATTTCCTATGACAGAGAAAAAGAGAGCAAAGGAAGTGAGAGGACGGTGGAGGAGAGGGAGAGAGATGAGAGAAGGGGAGGAAGAGAGCAAAGAAAGTGAGAGGACGGTGGAGGAGATAGGGAGAGATGAGAGAGAGGGGAAGGAAGAGAGAGCAAAGGAAGTGAGAGGACGGTGGAGGAGAGGGAGAGAGATGAGAGAGAGGGGAAGGAAGAGAGAGCAAAGGAAGTGAGAGAACGGTGGAGGAGATGAAGAGAGATAAGAGAGAGGGAGAGGAAGAGAACAAAAGGGAGGAAAAGAGAGATGGAGAGCAAACAGAAAAGGGAAGGGAAGAGAGGGAGACAAAGAAGAAGGAGCAATACAGTAGACGAATGTGCCTTTTTTGCCATCCTTGTTCCCCTCCGCCCTAGCGGTCTAAGGTCCTGTAAGTGATCACGTCCTATACAGGGTATTGGATGTGAGGATGCTAAGGGACATTCCAGCCAGCACCAAGGATCAAGTGAGTATAACTTTCTTTATAACTTAGCCCTTGCAGTGCTGGGGGTAGCCCCACTGCAACTGTTAAAAATAATTCTGCCCGAAGTTCTACTTTAACTAGACATTTCAAAGCCTAACGAAGTGTTCTTCTTTTATACGTCTAAGCTTAGAAATATTGTGTGTTTACAGTGCCCCCTAGAGACAACTTTAAATTATAACAGATATTCAGCATAAAGAAATGTATGTAGGGCCAGGTAGTTTTCCCCCGTGGTTGTCTGACGTTGGGGGGGGGGGGGGAGGGGTGGAGTCCCTGAATTTTACAATGTTTTACTGATTTTAGTTTAATTGTGAAAGATCATAAAGGAAACCTGTAGTGGCAGACTATTAGGCGGCCATTGCTGATCTCTCGTTCTGAAAATACTAGTTGCCTGACTGCAATGCTGATCCAAGAGCTATATTACTTCCTGAGTCACTGACCTGGAACAAGTATGCAGGGTCCAGCTCAGAAAATATTGAAGTCAGAAACAGCCGGACAAGTAGCGCTCCTGGAGGAGGTCAGCAATGGCAGCCCTGAGTACGAGTTCCCTTTAATAAATTGGGATTCTACTAGAACAGTGCTTCTCTAACTATTATAAGTACATACCCAGATATAAATGTCACTCTCTTCAAAGTGATGTGTACCACTGTATTTGAGGTGGTAGAATAAAGAATTTTGGGATAAATATGGTGCAAATGCGATTCCACACCCAAAGAGGAAATGTATAATAATGCGGCAAAGATGAGGGCTTTTCAGGTATCACAAACATCACTGATATAGCACAGAAGTCGGTTAAGATTACATCTTTATTTTATACAAAAATGTAAAAGAAAATTTGATTTGTGTGTAATAAAACACTTAAAACTGTGATCCTTCCTTCATATTGTGGCATATCATCAAGACCTCCCTTATAAAGATACCAGCAATATTGGTTACTTATCCAAAGACCATATAGAGTCCAAAAAATTATGGCTTCTGTGGAGGTCACAGCAATATTCAAAAGCAAGGACCTCTGTGTACCTCAGCTCTTTTCTCCAAACCGTTGCCTACACTGGTGACAACATTGCAGTGATTTTCCCTTTGGCTTTTATAGACGCACTTCTTCCTTCAAATGGTCACACCAACGTTACAGAGCATCCTCTTCCTTCCTCCTGAAGAAGCCCCTATATTGGGCGCAAAATGCATGGAGGAATATTGGCACCCCTTGATACCATGACATCATGCTATTATCGCATTTTTTTGGACTCTATATGGTCTTTGGATAAGTAACCAATATTGCTGGTATCTTTATAAGGGAGGTGTTGATTATATGCCACAATATGAAGGAAGGATCATTGTTTTAAGTGTTTTATTATGCACAATCCAATTTTCTTTTATATTTTGTATAAAATAAAGATGTCATCTTAACCTACTTCTGTGCTATATCAGTGGTGTTTGTGATACCTTAAAAGCCCTCATCTTTGCCGCATTATTATAGTGTATTTGAAGTGTCTGTTGATATATTAACATTGCTAATTCTCCATAACGAATACTATTAACAAATTGTGGGCATTAGGCTTGCTACCCAAAAAACTTTGCCAAAATACACAGGGCGTACACAGCATGCCCTGTCTATCTTCCCCTCTGCCATTTCCCATCCTTCCCCTTTACCTCTTGCAGGCAATTATTGTGTAATAACTTAAAGGGTTATTAAACCCTCAGGTTTTTTTGCATATATATATAAGGCTAGCAAGCAGTAGATATATGCAAAAACTTAAAAAAAAACAAAAAACCCTTTAAAACAGGTTAAAACGTACCTGTATCTTCCCCACGCGCTCCAGTCCAAAAATCTGAAAAATCTCGGGCGGCCGCAAAGGATCTTGGGGCGGGCGCATGCACAGTTCAGATTTTTGGCCGGGAGACGAGGAGAGACGCAAGGTAAGTCTATGAACAGCGTGCACCCGCATGCAGACACCGTGGGACAGCAAGGACAGAGGAGTCAGCGCTGGAGGGACAGATGAAAAGGATAGGAAAGTAGATTGGATTAAGAGACATCATTTAAGGTAAGTGCTTACATTAATTTTGGGGGGAGGAAAAAAAAAGGTGTATGCTTTAAAGGAGAACTATGAGGCGAGTGATTTTCACTCTTCCCCTTAGTTCTAGCCGACCTGTGACAATGAAACTGTCACAGGTCTGCTCTATTGATTGGGAAGTGAGCGAACACATACCATCGCTCGCTCACTTCTCGATCCTGTCCCTGCAGAGAGCTGTGACTGTCACTCACGGCTCCCTGCAGGGATTCCTCCCCTCCCCTGTCCGATCCTACAGCAGTGACTGGCGGAACGGACGGGGAGGGGGCGGGTACAGCTGGCTCTGCCTCTAGATAGGCAGAGCCAGCTGTCACTCACGCAGCTGGGTGGATCCAGACAGTAATGTCGGGATCCGTCCCGGGTGCAGCGTTTCAGTATACCACGAGCTGTAGGTCACGGTATACTGAGCTTTGGGTGATGGGAGGACGCTAGTTTGTGTCCTCCCGTTATGGAAGCTATGGGGAAAAGCCCTGACCACATAATTCTCCTTAATGTCACTTTAACACAGCAGCCGTTCCAGCTGTCAAAAAAGACCTTCTGAACAATGTTGATAAACACTGTTCAGAAACTGGATTCAGAGATACAAAGTAACATTATCGTTACTTTGTATTTCCTGTTTCACTGATCTGCAGATCAGAGGCGTGATCTTTATGCATATAATGTTAGTTAAAGAAACCTCACAAGTCAAAAGTAGTTTGTTTTTTTCCGTTTAATAACATTTATTCCTATCAAACCCCTTATTAACGTAATCAATGTATTCCTAGTAACCCTTTATAATCAGCCCTTACTAGCTTCTTCTGCCGCTTCTCTTTCGTTTTGTTACATTTTTTTTGTCTATAAAATGGATTACATTTTTGTAGGACAAGAACGCCTTGTTTGTCCTGAGAAAAACGTATGTATTACTTTGTTATCTTAAAGAAGAACTCCAAGAAAACTTTTTCTGAGCCCTTGCAGTGGGGTTACCACCGCACTGCAAGGCCGAAGTGCTCGCTTTTTGTCTAGGTGCAAAAACCCAAAGCTCCGATCCGGCCAGCTGTCAATGTGCTCCTTCCTGCCTCCGCTGCAGCATTGGAATGTTCCTCAGCGTGCTCATGCTCACGTCTATGCACAGTGTATAGACGCTGATGAGGACCTTAGACTGCTGCAGAGGAGCGGGAGAGACACTGGAAGGGCTAGTCTAAGAACAAATAATTTCAGAGCATCGGGTGAGTATAACTTTTTTCGAACCTAGACAAAAAGAGCAGTTAACCCTTCAAGGTAGTGGTAGCCCCACTGCAGCGGGTTAATAAATTTTTTTTCCTGGCGCAATACAATTATTTCTGAATAAACAAGCAGAAACAAAGCATGCTCTGGTCCATAGGGGGTATACAGGGGTAAGAGCTGGTTACATATCATCAGGAGCTCCAAAAATATTTTGTCAGATGTGTGATGAGATGATCCTCATTGATCAGGCAGTTAGCTGGTTGATATTGGTCTGGACAGGCAACAGCCATCTCATGTCTATGGGTACATCCAGAGTTTCTATTATGTTATGTAGCCTAATCCATGTATTTTACCTGATCCTTAAACGCGCTGGCTTGTTCCTCAAATCCATTTGCCATGAAATAACTGACGACATCATCCACAGCCCACTGTGACGCATCTGGAGGTCTTCCATTCTCCACTGAGCTACAACAACAGATCAGAGGTTACAGATCAGTGGTGTCTCTAGTCTTTTTGCCAACTGAGGGGGCCCGGAGGGGTGGGTGGTCAGGGGTTCCACACCACCCTCTGCAGGCTCTGCAGATGCACCAGTGACATCACCCGTTGACAAGAGCTGGGCAGGACACCATCCAGAGCGTCCCAGGTTGCTGAGAGCTGGGCAGGGAGAGGTGCATGGTCCTTACACATCTCCCTGCCCGGCTATTAGCAACTGCACTGCAAACATTGTGCCGCAGAGCGGCATGTCGCCCCCCCACATGACCCAATGAGATGCTGCCTTGGGCTGCCTCATTAAGGGGACAGCCCTGTTTATGATACTATGTTACAGCCCAGCACAGCGGTTCTCAGCCATAGGCTTTCTATACTGGAAAACAATTCAAGTGTGTGTGTGGGCAAAAAAGTAAAAAAAATAAAACACACACATATATATATATATATATATATATATATATATTTATT